GGTTTTCCGCCCATGCATGACACGCATTGTCTATGGGACATATCGGGTTCACGCTTTTGGCTCCCAGAACGATCTTTATTGCAATGACGAACATGCACCAAATCCCGTTGGTTTTTGCACGCAGTGCTTGTGAGCCCTTTCTAGGTTCTTTCCCTATCCCAATTTCTTTCAAACTTCGTAGGCATAGTCACTACCATCCAATCAAGGTCACTGTTAAGGCCTTTCTTTCGCCCTACCTATCTCCAATATCAAAGAAGCTACAGACTTCGTACGAATTGCTCAGGATAGTCCGAGAGAAGCTCTTTCGTTTGACACGTAGAAACATGGCGTCATTGCAGGCACATCGTTGTGACACGATTGCATTTCTAGTCTTCTCTTGAGTTCTTTCTCTTACTTCACTATACCGTCAGGCTAAATGTATAATCAATTGCCTCACCCTAAACCCCGCGCATGGTTTTATTTTGATGACAAATGCAGCGATACAAAAATAAAGGAATCTGTCACTTGTTAAGGCCCGGTCCCGCTGCACTTACGGATGCAAAGAGGATGTAAAACGTAAAAAAATCTTGCCATCGTTTGGAAAACGCTATGCATCCGTTGTGTACTCATTGCATACGTGTTTCATACGCTCTATCCATCGAGCATCCGTTCACTGTGATTTCATCCGCGCAAAAAGGTTTGAGCTGCACAAAACTTTTAGAACGGATGAACTTCAGCCGTGTACGATGTAAATCCGCGACAAATACGAGCAACAAACGTTCTATGTCCGTTATCATCCGTTAAACGTCCGCTGTGTCCTCTCTGCATCCTCTGGGCATCCTCGCAACTGACATCCGCTGCAGCTGAAAACGGAAAGAGGGAGGAAAGATAAGGTACATGGAACGTCTATACATCGTTAGTAGCACGGAAATAGAAAGGATGTAAGCGTATGCATCTCGTATATAAAGTATTCAAAGCTGTCATCCACTTTCATCCGCTTTCATCCGCTAGGCCTCCGATGAACATCCGTTTAACATCCCCGCTACATACTACCCACGTCCGTTATTTTCCGTTCTGTTTGCGCAAATTTTGTCCATTTCTAGAGCGGATGGAAACGGATGGAGCCATCCCTGAAATTTTGCTCGTCCGCTGTGTGCTTTTATATGCATATACGTTTTGCGTCCATCAGCCAGTGGGACCGGGCCATAAACAAAATAAGACGCCATTGTATATTCAGCTGCACACACCGGTGTATGTTCGGCGTTTTAAGAAGGAACAAATGCCGTCCTTAAAGTTGATATTCATTGATTTTAAAAACTAAATTTATTTTCATTATTGCAAAGTTGAAACTTTGATTCGACAAGGTTATCAAAATTCAATGCTTGGAAACATTCGAAGTAAGGATTATTATAAATTACAAAATGCTTAAATACAGCCTCATAGCATAGCACCGGAAGAGCTCTCCGAACGCTGCTGAGATGTGTGAGATCACAGTATGGACATGACTTGCACAAACAGACGATGTCCCATGACATCTTACACATTTTCAGTGCCTGTGTTTTCATCTTTTCTTGAGTTCTTTCTCTTACTTCACTACCGTCAGGCTAAATGTATAATCTATTGCCTCACTCTAAACCCCGCGCATGGTTTTATTTTGATGACAAATGCAGCGATACAAAAATAAAGGAATTTGTCGCTTGTAAACAAAATAAGACGCCATTGTATATTCAGCTGGACACACCGGGGTATGTTCGGCGTATCAAGAGGGAACAAATGCCGTTCTTAATATCATTTAAGGGGGTTTTCAATTTGAAAGTCTGCTTTCTTTGATTGTTAATTAACCCCTATCCCGTGTATAAAAGATTTTAGTTATAAATCAGAATCGGGTCATATCCCCTTTTGAATGGTTTGACATGCCATTACATTTATATACACTAAACTCATTATAATTTGACAAATAATAGCTTTGCAATTTAATATGTTCATTCTCTATGGGATGTCGTCTGCTTGGGCAGTGTTGGTCCATAATTATAGTGAAGTATAGTGACATCGTTATTTTTCCGGCGAATCTCTCGTATATCCCATCTGCTATGGAGGTGGTTGTATTTGTATTTTTATAAATCACCCGATATGTAGTTGACCTTAAACTTGTCCGATGGTCATCTGTTTGCTTACCAGTTTTAGTGATACATTAGTTGACATATTTGTGATCTTCTTTGAATTTCACCTTTTATGTTGCTACTAAAAAGGAGTGAACTGGAAAGAGTAGCACAGCACTTGTTTCACATTTTTAAATTAAAGACTATCCTTGTCAGTCCCACTCGTGTGTCCTAGTTGACACTACATATCCTTTATTCGGAGAAAACCAATCCAAACTCGATCCTAAACGGGCTCAAGCAAGGCTTAGAATTGTCGCCTGGTTTCTCTCATTTTAAGACAAACGATATGTGACTGAGAATAAATTATGCCAGTTCGAATTTGTTTACCTTTGATATCTTTACCTCTGACATTTTTACCACTGATATTTTGATTTCTGACATTTTTACCTCTGACATTTTTACACCGAATTGGCAAGGCAAATTTCTAGCAAATTTTTTTTTTTCAGAGTGAGGGCATCTTGTCGGGAATCTTTAGTAAAGCAAAATGCTAGAGAGTGGGAGCGAGAGAGTGAAAGCAAGAGATAGAGAGAGAGAGAGAGAGAGAGAGGGGGGGTGAGAGATTGGATAGAGTTTATAATTTACCGAAACCTGCAGCCACCGACTTCATACGCTGATTCCTGCACACACACAAATAGAGGACAAAAGGCCTACCTTTATAAAGTTCTTCTTTTTTTTGTAGCTCCTCTCTAATAATCGAAATGTTTGCTGGATGAGAGAATGTTTTTCAAAAATAAATGAATTCTTAAATGTCATATCAACAGCGTTAACAAGAATACATAATATGCTTTACTCTACTTGGTCAGTTGCCCCCCCCCCTCCCTGGATCCGCCATTGTTGAGTTCTTACTCTTCTTCTTCTTCTAGTTCTACTTTTCCTTCTTCTCCTACTTTCAACTTCATCTTCTTCTTCTTAATATTCTTCTTACCATTATTATTAGTATTATGATTATTATTATTATTATTATTATTATTATTATCATTATTATTATTTCCTTCTTTTCTTTCCCTCTTAATATTTTATGCATGGGCCGCATAACCACTTTTCCCATTTCGTATTGTGAAACTCAGAGTCCCGAATTCACAAAGGAGGTTTGTCGACAAACCAAGGTTTGTCGACAAAACCTCCTTTTGTTTCGCAAAACCTCCTTTTGTACTTTACAAACAAGGTAAAAAAAAACGCGTAAAAACGCGTCATATGACGTACGAAAACCAAGGTTCGTCGACAAACCTCCTTTGTGAATTCGGGCCATAGTGTCTCAGGCCTTCAGAAGTTTATTTTTTATCTTATTTTGTTGTAATCGTTATTAAGAAGGAGGATAAGAAAGATAGTGAGAAGATAGTCAGTTACTCTGTCCAGTGTAAATGTCTGTTCTTTTTCAGGGGCACTGCATTTAAGGCAAAAAATGTGGCTTCGATCATGTTTCAACCCAAGTCTGAGACGCGCGCGCATGCTTGTAGTGAATATTCATTAAACTCATGTTTATACAAGACAATTAGCTTTAATCGAGATTGGGCTACTTCTAGCGACCAATAAGAGAAACGATTCGCGACTAGTAAAGATTCGGGCGAAGTTAGCGCGGAGAACAATAGAATTAGGGCTATGGTGTCTTCAAAAAGAACGATGAAAAATGAATGTGTAACATGGGTGATAAAGAGAGACAAATGCGATGAAAGCTGATACGTTTGATTATAGTCATGTATGCACATGCTCATAATGCATTTCAGTGTGTTCAGGAATTGACTTGAAAATCCGTATATGCATAAAACGATATAGCAATATATATTGTGTTTTTTTATTATACAAAATGTACTGAGAAACCAAGATAATTAGCCATTTTAAAAATAGCTTCACTACACTGGCTTTATATGAAATTTTCAAAATTCCTCTCAGGGGACGAGCCCAACTCATGAACATTTCCTAATGGAAGTCTGTTTTTTCTGCATGCGGTGGGTGGGGGGATAGGTACCCCGTTAGCATGTACCTTTGCATTGATGGATGAACATGTTTCTTGCAATGAAAGCCTATTGTCTCTTTTGCCCTCTTTTATTTTATTTTCTTCAACATGTCCGGGGGGTACGTTCCCCGTGAACATGCTTTCTAGCTTTGCCACACAAATGACGATTTACGATATACACACGTTTAAATCTCATCTTAGTTGATATATACCTCTAATACTCATGGCTTAACATATCGGATCGGATGAGCAGATTTAAGGAGATAATTACAATTATGATTGAACATGCAATGGATGAAAACTTACCATCTCGGCTTTTTGTTCATATTCAATTAACTGTGACAGGGGCGGATTCAGGATTATCTGTAATGATTGACGGAAAAGTGCAAGCATTTTATTTATTTGGGGGAGGTTGGGGGAAATTGCCAGAGACGAACTGGAATCATCAAGAGCATGTTATTTTTCGGATAAGTGTTTTTTTCTTCAAATTAATATCACAGTTTGCCTTTTTAAAGACATTTGAATGCTTAAATCACCCTCCTTTTCGTCGGAGAGGCTCCTGCAGTGACGTCAAAGTCATTGCGAAATACAGCTCCGGAACTTCTGAGCGTTCCGATTCGTAATTGTTAAAGCTAGATACCAGTATTATTGATGATTTCTAAAAAAAAATATCATTGTCATGTTCGGAATCTCCGTCAAAAATTATTCTACATGTATTTTTTCATTTTTTAGCCCGTTTTGGTCAGAGTGGCCCTTTAAAGTTGACACACTGAAAGACGACACTGAAACGTCATGCTGAGTCACAGCTACCGTACATGTGTTTAACCCCCCCCCCCCCCCAGAACAAAATCAGTTTTGGCACGTACTTCAGCCTGGTTACTGAGCGCAGAAGTGGATATACATGACAAGACACTATGACATATATTCGGCTTTCATCATAGCTCGAAATACATCTTGACTATAGGACAGACCTGTATACCAGCTAGACCTATCATACTGAACTATAGAATATGTCGGACCAGGCAGCGATGGATCGGGAACGGTGGAGTTGGCGATTTGAATCTATTGGGACGAACATCGGCTTCGTAGCCTGCTTTCAGAATTTATGGCGCTTCCCTTACCTCTGCTACGCCAATGGCGGGTGTAAGTAGATGACATTTTATTTAGATTATATTTCCTTGCTGTGTTGAACTAGCACGTACATCAGGATTGTTGCTCTATGTGGGGGTTGGGTCAGTCAGACCTCAGTGGTATGCAACCGCGTAGCTAGGATTTTATTTAAGGGGGCGAAGCACTTACAAAAGCGCGTTCCGAAGGAGGGTGCGTGCGAGGTAGGGGAGTCCCTCCCACCCGCCCCCACACCTCTCTTGCGAATCGCGGAAGCTTTGACGTTTCATTAAACTATAGAGAAAGAAGATGATTCGTTCTCGACCTTTATAACCCTTGTCTGAAATTTCAAAAATAATATTTGCTTTATTGTTAGGTCTATACAAGATATTTGTTTTCTTTTAGAATTGAGCATCATGCATGTGATAAATATATTGACCAATCACCAAGCAATCAGTATTTCATCATAAGATTTCCTTAATTGCTTGCGGAAAATATGTTCGTCATTATTTGCCACATTAGTGTGACTTATTTCTTGTTTATTTCTGGTATGAGAATATGAGAGCGGGGTTGTATATACATACTGGCTAGCAATTCCTACACTCTCCTCAACGAATATACAGTAAACACGTAAAGAACCCGGCCCGCTGTACATAAAATATCCGTCGAGCACCGTTGAGTTCAGTTCAGTTCAGTTCAGTTTCAGTTTATTTTCATATTTCACACATGTTGTATAGTATAGTACTAGGCAGTGATCATAATTTTTTTTCTCGTATTTGACCTCGAAAATGTGAAAATCGAGCCTACCAATATCTCGCTTAGTGGGGGGGGGGGGAGTATGCATCATTTATTTTTTGTATTTGATCCCGAAAACTTTTTTTTTTTTTAATTAAAAAAAAAAAAAAAAAGCCAGGGGGCCCGGGCCTGTCGCCCCCCCCCGTAGATCCGCGCCTGCTCTCCCCCCCCCCCTTTTTTTTAGCCGGCGTTTTTTTCTTGGGGGGGGGGGGAGGGGGAAGACCACCTCAACTCTTTTGCTTTCCAGTAATACCTAAAATATATTATTTCAAGTCAGGAGCTAGCGGAATACAACGAGTGTACCGAAACACCAGACGTAGGCGTACTAGAAATCAACGCATCGGACAGCCGATGTTTTTGCGGGGGAATGTGGGAGAGGATGAGGATCGCATGAGGTCACTTTGAGGTCAACGATAGTCGTCGCTCGAAAACCGCCAACCTATATTCTTATCCATCCCGCTCGTTTTTGTCAGAGGATTTTGAGATAAACTATTCTTCTATTCAGGAAAAATGTTTCGACAAAAAATAACTTCGTTACCAGTCAGAAGCTAGCAAAAACACAACGCTATGTCAAAATGTGATTGCAAAAAGAACAAAATTAGCCGAATATTTTGGCTCAATTTGCATTAACTTCCAAGTTCGGAAATATTACAAATAATATACCAAAAGAAAGAGCAAGAATCGTAAATTCAGTAACCACATCATTTTTCCATGATACCTGAATATTTTTTCCAGAGGGAGGGGTTCTGTTGGCTCTTTCCAAATCACGTGACATCTCGCACAAAATCTCGCGACTTGGGTTCGTACGGCCGTACGTGAATCTACAAAATTTGCAAAAAATAGCTCATTAACGCGGGCGCTGCGGTATGACTGGAGTGCATCAGTGCCCCTTCAAGAGGGTGGATTGATTTCATTTATTGTTGTCATTACATTTATTTATTTAATCACGGTAAATTCGCGTCAGCCTAAACGATAGTTTTTCAAGGAATTTATTAACTGAATAAGGTCTAATAATCATTTGATAATGATTATTCTTTATGATTAAACGATTATTAGACCATGTGGAAGATAGATAAAATGGGCATTAGACAATTTGTGATATTAGATAGCTTAGACAGATACCGAGATGTGATATGAATTGCGAGGATCCAAATTGTTATATTTTCCTGGTTGGTTATATTTTAATGGCCGGTGAAATGAATATATTTTTAATCAATACATGTCGCCCTCTTGAGGATTGTATGTCACCAAAGACACACATTACCCCATTACCGAGGGTCTCTTTTTTCCTGAATTTTTTTTTTCCCCTTGGAATTATTTTTTGACTTTTTTTTCCGATTTTGTTTTTTTCGAATTTTTTTCCCCTCGTGACCATATTTTCCCTCAGCGCTGCGCGCTTTGGGAAAATATAACCACTTGGGAAATATAACTCCCTTCAACAGTCCAAAAAATGTGATATTACACCCCCTGCCAGTTAATAACTGTATTATAATACTGATGAGGCTACTCTGAGTTTATCTTTTCTTCATCATTGATATAATTATCATTACCATTGTATTCACTATTATTGTTAGAAATAGTAATAATAGTGGTGGTAGTAATAGTAGTAGTAGTAGTAGTAGTAGTAGTAGTAGTAGTAGTAGTAGTAGTATAGCAGTATAAGTAGAAGCAGTATGGTTTGGTAACACTTTTGATTATGTTCTCTCTCTCTCCACAGTTATCTTCCTCATCCCATATTTACTATGTTCCATGTTTCTTGCGATTCCTCTCATGTTCCTGGAGACGGCACTCGGTCAATACACCTCCTCGGGTCCCATCAGAGCATGGAAGATATGCCCACTTTTTCAAGGTAAACATAACTAATTAATTAATATTTCTGAAAAGACATACAAAACATATATACATTGTTTAAAACAAGAATTTATTAATTGGAGACCACGAAAAGACGAAATGGCTAAAACGTGATTCCCAGATACGTCAAAATACATGCGTTCACACAAAAGTCTGTAGTTTTAATCTTCAAAGTTATTTTACCCGTTGTAAGGCACCGTGTCGACGCAACTGTGGTTACGAAACTTTAAATGCGTAGACGTGGGCGTAGATGAGAGTTTATATCTTGGGATGCATTAGTACTGACAAGAAAATAAATATATAACAAAATATTTTGGGATGCGTTCATTTTCGATAACCCTCTAACAGGCAAAAAGACAAAAGAAAACGTAATCACATGTTTGATGGTGAATTTTTGCTCTTAAATCACGGTTGGTTTAGAATAGTCTTTATGTTTGTTTATGGAGGGGTGGGGGTGCGTAAATAAAGAACAAAATCGTGATAGAATTTTGATAGTAATCTCCCCCTGTCCAAATCGGAGGGAAAGTGTCAACCATCCCCGGTATTTCCGAACATGGAAAGACATAATAAACTAGCATTCACTCAGCTTCGACTCCCATCTTAGGGATCAAGGGGGTGGGAGGGGCAAGGAGGCGATCGAATTCTTGTCATATTCGGCAAACGAGGAAAGTTATAGCGACTTAGCATGAAAGGGTGGTAAGGGGCCACCCCTCCATTCATAAGAAAGAATAAAAGCACATGTAAATAATGCTCAATAAGATTTTCCATAATTTAACACCAGATTGTATCCAGACTAATCTCTTTTACGAAGAAACCAATTAGGCCTATCCCCTAAGAAATAGGGTGGTGAAGCGTGACGTCATCAAAAATCTTTTTTTAGAATTTCTCAATTTTTTTCGTCATTTTCCGAAAGGGCATCAAAAATAATTTCCAAATGTCTAAAACCAATTGTATATGTTAGGTATTGGCTGAGATATGACCATCTGAATAAATATATTTCCTATAGGAACTCAGTGTTATTTTGCTCTGGCTCCTAACCATTACGAGTTAGTCATTTTAGTAGTTATCAGATTTGTATATTTCTCTTTCTTTATTCCTTTTGAATGATGACATTTCTCGTAATTGATGCTTTGTACAGCGCGTAGAGAAACTTTTGTTTTATAATGTGCTTTATAAGTATTAATATTATTATTATTCCTTACCTCGGATTATTCATTATTTTGTATGGACTACAAAATCAACCTTTTGCGATAGATCAGTTTACCAACATATTCACATTATTGGGATACTCTATAAACAAAGGTTGTTCTTGAAAACACTAATGTTTGTACGAGGGTTGCTCGACATAGCAACAAATGATGTACGCAGACTGGATTCCGCGTATTGTAGTTCATTCATTGAAAACGGATTGATGAAAACACTCGTCACTAGGTCCCTAGGAAAGAAAACAAAAATCGATTTGAATATGTGAGCAAAGAGCGGTCTAAAGCTTCCAGACATTATTTTTTCAGTGTTTAGCGCATGAGCATTACTTGCCTCTTTCACTCTTTTACACGCTTGACTTAACCCTAATAAGGCCGGGCTATTTGAGTTCTTAGTAGGGCCGGGGGCCGTTATGCCCCCCCCCCCTTAGGATCTCGGCCGCGAAGCGGCTGATCCCCGCGAAAATTTGCACGCATGTCAAGTGAAGTGTATAGAATAATATGATAATTTCAATTTTTAGAAAAAGTCACATATTTACATATTTATGGTAATTTATGCAAATAAAGTCATAAAATCACATTTTTACCCATAAATCATATATTATTCATATTTAAGCATTTTTTTCACTACATATATTTATCAGACCATTTGAAATAAAAATACGACAAAAAAAGTTGAAAGAGCCAGCTTATTCCTTATGTTATTTCTTGTTTTTACAATTTCTTATGTATTTCATTGTTTTGTTAACTTATGTATTTTATTGTTTTTGTTGTTTTATTTCATTTCTTACTATAATTCAACTATTTTGAATCTCAAAACAACCACCTAAACTTTAAACAAGACTCAATAACCAATGTTTAATCTATTTTAGGAAAAATGACATTTCCATATGTTTTGTACATAAATCACAAAAACGAGCGCTTTTCGGGCTGACACGCGAAGACAAAAGGTCACCTGACCTTGTAATTGTAGGTCCGATTTTCATAATTTTTTTTTAAAGATGCGCAAGACTCGAAAGAAAAAAGTCAGCGAGCGGTGGGGCGCTATTTATATGCGTTCTCGAGCAATCGGAAAAATCGTGGAGGGGGGGCCATAATGCCCCCCCCGGCCTTATTAGGGTTAAGATGCGAAGGCCGTGGGTTCGAGCCCCGTACCTGTACCACTGTCTGTTGGCAAGTCATCAGTTAGACATTTCCCACATTCGAATCAACCAAGGTATTTTTAAATATATATTTTATTACAGAGAACTTGTAACTTTTTTATTCTCAAGGGGTCTATAAAATACAAGCCATGCTTTCTTAAATAGACCCTCCACTATGTTTTCACCATCTTGCCAATCTTAAATGATTCATTTGAATAATTGTTTAATTATTTGTCGTATCATTTGTTTAATATTGTGTTATTGAACGCTTGTATATATTGCATATTCATTTGATTATATTATGTGGACAAAATATTTAAAAAACTTGAAACCTTGAACCTTGTATTATTACATGGATACCTGGCCGGTAGGAAGTGTTTCATAAATTCTGTGAGCATACAGCAAAATCGGTAGCCTAGCTGGAGCCGGGTAAGTTTTTATAAAATATATGTTGAACGCTTTTTTTTTTTTTTTTTTGTAATACTCCAAGGCTCGTACAGAAATGACGCGGCATAATCACGGCTTTATTTTTTTTTAGTGATGACGTTACGTGTACAATACACGGAGCTCAGTGAATACGCAGAAGTCCTTTGCTGCGCGCAGTTGCCATTTATTTTACATGTACAAAAACCCGGGCGGCTCTTTTTGTGGCGGTTTACCACACCCACTCCTGAACACGCCTTTAATTTGATCATCGTAGGTATTGGTATCGCCACCACTGTCGTTGCTTGGTGGCGTACCATCTACCATAACGTCATCCTGGCTTGGACCCTGTACTACCTCTACAGTTCGTGCCTTGGCGGTGAGCTCCCCTGGGCGAGATGTGATCATGAATGGAACACAGCTTCATGCCTTAATAGCTCCGTAAGTCTATACTCTGTACATCCCTCCCCTCCCCCTATCCCTCTCCATCCCATTATTTAAAGCTTCCTCAGTGTGGATCGGGGGGGGGGGGGGGAGTCGGGCACACAAGTCACCCCCCCCCCCCCCCCCCCTGGTAAACCAAATATGGCAGACTTACACGACAACGACAAGTATCTGGTATATCTGTATCTAGGGAACGAACAAAAATGTAATCAAATTTAATGCAGAAATCTTTCTTAAGAGCCTCCTTACAAATTATTCTTTTCACAGGCTACGAATTGTATTTAAATAGACAGAATGCAACTTGCTAACATAATGGCCCGAATTCACAAAGGAGGTTTGTCGACAAACCGAGGTTTATGTACGTCATAATTATGACGCGTTTTGACGCGTTTTTCACAAACCTGGTTTGTAAAAACGCGTCATATGACGCACGAAAACCAAGGTTTGTCGACAAACCTCCTTTGTGAATTCGGGCCAATGTGTTGTTAGGTAGGACAAGTCATAAGTGTAATTCGCATTTCACTATTGAAATACTATTGAAATACAATTATTCGTAGTTAAGCGGGTGAATGAAACAATGTGTAATATTAATAATAATAGATCACATTTATAACGCGCCTAATACATTGTAACGAGGTACTTAGAAAAGATTTTTGCATTAAATTTGATTCCATAACGAAAATTGTCTATTCCAATACCCTATGGTACATGTATATCACATATAAATTCTATTCAGATTTTCTTATCATACATTTATCGTACATTTCAGTAGGTAATGGACTAGGCTAGTGAGGCCAAGGGCTTCGGTTGGGTTCTCGAAAGTCTTTGTGATCGTGTATAGCTCTAAATGGGAAGGTTGAGTTGAGTTAATGATACAAGTAATGATAAACACGATCGCAACTAATTTCGAAATATCAATTTATTGTATATCCCACAAAAATCCTGTTCAAATTACGTCACACGTCTTTTTAATGTTCGCACATCTCAAAAGGCGATGTATAAATTAAGGCCATTGAAATAAGGCCCTTTTACACTTTCACGGATCATCCCGGATCTTAATCCGGGGTGTTCCGGCGTGCGACACCACGATTTCTTCTCGATGCCGGTGTGGATACGTTCCGAACTGGGTGTATACACGGGCAAGTACGGTGTCTCCACGGACAGACAAGGTCGCAACGCGGACCATGCCGGAAACGCATACGGAGCTAACACGGATTTCAAGGAAGAGCACGGAGGCTACTGGGTACTTTTACGGTCCTTACACGGAGGTGTACGTTGTCTATTGGGATATCTCCGGAATGTTGACGGGTGACTTGAGCTTGTAGGCGCTCATTTGATATACGGAATTCCAAACCCGGATGAAACCGGTGTTAATACGGACCTCCCGGTGTCTACACGGACTGTCCCGGGTGTATTCGGCGGCTACACGGAGGTACACGGTGCCTACAGGGAAGAGGACGGATTGTTTCATCCGTGAACTCCGGGATGAAAAGTTAAGCAAGCTTAATTTCTTCCCCGGATATGCCGGTACGCCAAGGATCACGCCGGATGCCTCCCCGGTGTATACACGGTAATGCCGGAGATAACACGGATGATCCCGGAGCGACGATCCGGGATGATCCGTGATGCGATCCGTGAAAGTGTAAAAGGGCCTTAAGGCTGATTTTCGAAGGTAGTTGCAATCGCGATAATGATGATAATAATGATAATAAAAATAATAATAAATATGGTATTAACAGTTGTTGTTGCTATACTGTATCACGTTGAATTCATTGACTCTAGTCTAAATGGGTGTGCGTTAACGGAACCTATATCATCGGCAACAAGTGGGATACGTATCCAACGGAAGCACCGCGAGCTCCATCGTGGAACAGTTGGGATGTAGCAGGGTCTTCAGATAACCCTGACCGATGTGCTTATAATTCCCCTGCAACCACCAACCCGGCCCAGGAGTTCTGGAAGTAAGTTTCATGATAATGATGATGATGATGATTCTAAAACTCACAGTATCAATACTACTATATCATCAACGTTTCCCACTTAGACCGGTTTACTAACATATTCAAATTGTATACATACTTTTCAGACAAGGTTATTCTTGATAAACCGAACGCTTGTTCGGCGCTTCTCAGACATTTCAACAAGTAATGTATGCATACTGGATTCCAAGTATTGTAGTTCTTTCATTAATAACAGGTGAATGGGATAACTCATGACTAGGTCCCCTGAATAAAAACTTTCTTAACTTTGAATATGTTACTAAACCAGGCTATTCCTTCCAGTAACGTTTTTCATACTCTATTCGTATGACTAAAATTCACCTTTCATTGAATGACTACAGTAATAATAGCGATATCATGATAATATTAATAATAGTAATAATGATAATAATAATAATAATGCACATGTATCATGGCACTTTGATATTTGATTAATACCCCGGTTTATAGAGCCGACCCGTAAAAGTAAATAGCGACCATTTAAAAAAAAAATGTATTTACCTCTCCTGGAGTGGAAGCCCTAACATCGAAATCTGATTTCCATTGGGTACCCATTTACACCTGGGTTGGGAGTGGCAATTGTAGATTAACGGCTTTTGAAAACAACATTAGCGTTGGCCCGGGATTTGAACTCTCTACCTTGTGATCTACAATCCGTTGACTTAAAACGGGGTCAGAACCATTTAACCAAGATGTATGCCAAATTGTAGATATACAGGTATATCATCGCTGAATGTATGTGAATAAAGTCTGGATTATGTGATATCCGATATCAAACTCAAAATATGCCTAGATCGGAACAGACGGTACACGCCACCTACACACCGGATTTCCATTCCGGATACACACAGGGGCGTCGCTAGAACTTTTTCAGTGGGGGTGTAGAGGCTACCAATTACCGACAGGCTACCAATTACCGACAAAAGTAGCCCGACAAATACACTGTTGGTCATAAAGGTGGAATAATTATTTTTAACCCAATTTATGGAACGATTTTGACAATGATTTATTCTTAATAGATCTAGATAATAGCATATATTCTCAGATTGTATTGAATAATAATTTGTGAGTGTTTGTTTTGCTTGACTGCTAAAGCATGTGTGTGCTACTATGCTAATCAACTAGGGGACCTACGTCCTTAAGTCATAACTGAAAGTAGCGAGGATTAATGCCTCGCAAAAGGGCACTACAGCACATCGACACGGTTTTGATCATGGGGCCTCACAGTAACAAGGCCAGTGCTTAGCCACTGAATCGTGACTGTACGCAACGGAGGCTAGGTTACAGGGCCGCCCCCACAAATACAAAAAAAACAAAGAAAATGCACTAAATTATCAATAATTCATTGCATTTTGCCCCGATCTCAAACAGAAAAAAAATCCTTTGTGTAGCCATGCCTTAGACCATTAAACTTTAATTGATAACGTACACGAGGATCGAGCATGAATCGAGCCAGAATCGACACAGCTGATCCGACACAGCAACATATATGCGTATCTTTCTTGCTCCCTTGACGAGACGACTCCACCTAACAACTCTCCTCTCTCTCTCTCTCTTACTCCCACCCCTTCTCTCTCAGGCTCTTCCCCCCCCCCTCTCTCTTTCTCTCTCTCTCTCCTCTCTTTCATCCCTCGTTTCTTTTGTTTCCTTTTCTCTTTTTTCTCTATTTTTCTTACTCCTTTTCATTCTTTTCTTTTTTTTACTTTCTTTCCTCTCTTTCCTCTTTAACTTTTTTCTCTTTCTTTCTTTTCTTTCTTACTTTTCTCTTACTTTCTCTTTCTTTCTTTCCTTTCTTTTCCTTTTCTTTTTTCTTTTCTTTCCCTCCCCATTTTCTCAATTTTCCCGACGTCAGCGCAATTTTACCCACAATTTCCTGACAGGTGGGTGTGTCGTACCCCACAGCCCTCCCCCCCCCCCTTTAGCGACGCCCATGCATACACCCTCTTGCGAATAGAATATACAAAGGGGCTCCGGTTGAAATTATGTTGTTTTTTAAAGCTATTTGAGGGGCGCAGTCATTCCCCCCCCCCCCTCCCCATCAGGCGAGTTTCTAAAAGAATGACGGGTAGGGAGGAGCCTGGAGCCCTTGCATTCATTTTCTACATGTGCCTCGCTTAAATTCATTTATAATCAATACTTTGAGGGGGCTTGGAGGGAAGAAGGGTCCCCTCCAGCCCCTCTCTAGAACCGCTACTGTCTGAAAATGAGTAAAGTCAACATCTTTGTCTAAAGCCACATCCGGGTGTATTACTGGTTAAGTCTACTGCAGGATATGGCAGAAAAATCTGGGAAAATAGAACATGATGGGGAGGGGGGGGGGGGGCTCCACTTCATCTTTATTTCATCTTGAATATCGAGTGTTCCTAACATTCACAAATTTCTTGACACTCCTTTATCTACTGAGGATTCCATACCTCAAAATTATAATCATTTCTGTTTGTATGCATATTTTATGTAAACATTGCATCATTGGTCCCCGGACTACTGCATTGTACATTGTGTATGTTGATATTAACAAACCGAAATGAACTGAACTGATGTCACCTTGCAGCCTCAGTGATACCACAAACTGATGTTGTAGTTGTTAACGCTTCCGTCAGGATAACTCTGTATTATTTTCTGTATTCTTTGAATTAAAGTGTACTTTGAGAAAAAATTCGTATTTCTTAGTAGAAAAAGGAGTGTCAAGAAATTAGTGAATGTTAGGAAAACTCGATAGTCAAAATGAAATAAAGATGAAGTGAACTGAAAAATGGGCTCTAGTTTTATCAGTTGTCATTTTCCTTTGCTAGATTCAATGTGCTACAACAGACAGACGGAATACATGACGTAGGACGTATTGTTTGGTATCTTGCCCTAAACCTCTTCCTCGCATGGAAGCTCATCTACTTTGGCCTCTGGATGGGAGTCAAATTGAGCGGCAAGGTAATTTTATATTTTTGTTTATTGTTTGTTTATTTGTCTGTAATAATTTTATGACGAAAAAATGACCCCCAAAATACGAAATTGCAATGATTTGTTTACAGTTCATTCCTTGTAATTGTAATGATGATGACGATGATGATGATTGTGCTCGTAATAATTACAATAATAATAATAATGATACTTACAATAATAATGATAATAATAGAAATAGTAATAATAATGATGATAATAATGATGATGATAATAGTGACGATGATAATGATAATAATTTTAATGAAGAAAAGAGGAATAATATAGTGGGTCCTTGTACAACGAATATGTCTGTCACACTATGAGCTAGACACCCTGTTCTACTGCTAAAATAACTCGGCTTTTTAGCTGCATTGGTCACACTACGTACCCATTTGCTTAATTTACTTTTTATTGTTGGCTGTGAGCATAAACATTTAAGCAAGGCTTATTGTAGTTAAACTAGTGTAAATAGCTTGGTTGGATTAAAAACAGTACATTCATTTTAAAAGGTGCACTCAATTCATAATTCGACCAGTAAATCCGAGAAATAATTTGTATATTACTTCTTTTTGTTCTATTTTCTTATTTTTAATACCAATGATCATTCTTTTATCGTGTGATTTCGATCAGAAATTAATCATGTTTTTTTTCCTTCAACTTGCCTTTTTTAAAAGTGAATTGAATTAAATGTATTGTCTTGTGCAACAGACAAATCAATACGACATTACAATACGACAGCGATACGACATTTGTTTGAACGTGTACAAAGTGTAATAATAAAAAAGTTGACATTAAAACAACATGTTACTGATGACACTACCAAGAATTATTCATGAAGAAGCCTGCAAAAGAAGGGTTATCACAGTAAGCGCTTGCTTGATAACGTGATAGTCCTGGGGATGGGTGTTAAAATATTATTAAAAACGGTGATGGTGATGAGGATGATGATGAAAAATTAAAAATAAAGTTTGTATAGAAATTCCCATTTTATGACCATATTGAGTGTAAAATTGTTGAAACCAAACTAGATGTGGTATAATTATTATTCTTACTTCTCTTAATTTTGCAGATAGCTTATTTCACCGTTCCCTATATACACCTTGTACTAGCCGCATTTTTTATACGTGGGGTCACTTTACCAGGAGCGTATGATGGTTTGCGGTTTTTTCTCTACCCCAACATATATCTACTTGGAAGAACACAGGTAAACGGTCTTCAAAGCTTGTATAATATCTTGCATCTGTTGATTTCGCGAAGGTATTTCCTATCGTGTTTTCTCTCTGATTAGAGGACCTGTATTCCCATGTTATGTAATCATTTGAATTTGACTGATTTATTTGACTTTGAAAATTGTATTGTTATGCATCGATATAAGCGCATCCCATTCTCATAAAATAAAATCATTACTTGACAAAGCCCTAAGGGCGACAATTTATAGAACAATATCTTCGTCTACGGAGCATTATTATTTCTTGTATTTTATATATTATATTACATAATATATATATTCATATATATACACATTAAATATATTCTTTTTTAATCATTTGTTTATTCTGACAAGAACACGTATATATAAGGATAAATGCGAGAGATCATGTACTTGAAACTCCTTGAACATATATAAATACCATTAACTCGTTTATATTTCATTTCATTTATTTCATTTCATTTATTTTCATATTTCTCATAAACATACATATATTTCAAATGAAGTACAAAATTGTTTTATTTGAATGATACATAATAATAACAAAGATAAGTGGTCAATATGAATTAGTGATTTAACTAAGAGAAATATGATAGGAACTACATGGAAGCAAGCTTGTATTAAGGTTGTAGGCCCCAGTAAAAGTATTTGTGTTAATAAATGGAGGACGGATATGCATGTAATAGTGACTAGTCTAAATTAATAAAAAAATAAAAAGGAAATAATAATAAACTTGCGGTAGTGCTGTTTATATTATCCCTTCCTTTATTTAAGTGTAGATAAAAGTACACGTACTTAAATTATCATACAATGGGTGCTCAGCTGATAAACGAACATTACAGATAATAGTAAAATGAATACATTTGGATATTACATACATAAATAGAATAACGAGCAAGCGAGCAAGAAAACTGTGTCAGCCGTCGCACTCTCGGATATAGAAGTAACGATGTTTTATTGTTGTTGTTGTTTTTTTTAAATACGTATTCCCGAAAGCACGACAACCAGACACAACGTGCTTGCACACAAAGGTCATACATACATTGACATCAAGATATGCTTTGAAAAGCAGTTCCTTCAGTTTACGTTTAAAAGTATATAAGGACTGACTTTCAATTAACTCTAACGGGAGGGCATTCCAGTAACTGGGTCCTGTAAACATAATCGTTTTTTGGGCAAAAGCAGTTAGGGTACGTGGAAGGTGGTATGCGTTGCTCTGACATGTGGGATAATCATGTAGGGATCTATTTCTCCGGAACATTTGTACAAATATTACAGGTCGGTTATTAGTAGATAAATTGTACATGAATATACCAACATTGCAATAGAATAAGTCTGATAATTTTAGGATTCTGTTTTCATGGAACAGGTTGTTGGTGTGAAAAAGGTCTCCTACATGATTAATATTTCTAATAGCGCGTTTTTGAATGCGAAAAAGCATATTTATTAGATTTCCACTAGCGTTACCCCAGGCGAGAATTCCATAGGTGAGGTATGGAGTCATTATAGCAGAATAAACTGATTATAAAATTTTACTGGGAAAAAAGTGTTTAAGTCTATTAAGTATACCAGTATTTCTTGAGAGGACCTTGCTCAAATTAGTAATGTGGGATTTCCAAGATAAATCACTATAAAATATAAAGTCCCAGAAATTTAGTGCAGTCGACTTGTTCTAGTTCTAGGTGGTCTTAAGCATTTATGAATCTACCTCGACAGAAAAGGTTAATGTGTATAAAAGCAACAACATTAACCATTAACTTTGTGGCCCGAATTCACAAAGGAGGTTTGTAGATAAACCTAGGTTTATGTGCGTCACATGACTCGTTCCGACGCGTTTCGGACCAAAGTTTGTCTGAACCTTGGTCTGAAATGCATCGGAACGCGTCATATGACGCACATAAACCTAGGTTTGTCGACAAACCATCTTTGTGAATTCGGGCCTTTAGGATTTGTTTATTTTAATATAATCAATATTTCTCTTTGTCTTCAAACTAGTCATTCCAATATTTGTAAAGCTCAGAACGAGTAAAACTATGCAGCGCTACCTTAACCGTGTCTGAATTTAATAGGCAAAATAATCTCCCTTTTTAAATCATGATTTGAATTGATATCTGCATTTTTTCAAAATACACTGAATAACAAAGAAAATGTAAACGTTAGGTATAATAAAAATACGCTAATAATATAACTTCATTTCGAATTGTGATTAATACAATATATACATATATAAACGAACTTCTTCTATACTATATTATTATGAATTTAAAGTATTATCCTAACTATCTGTGGACAAAAGTCCAGGAGACTGCCATCATAAGCGACGCTTTACTATGATGGCGGTCTACGGTTCATTGTTTTGTTTTGTTTTATTTGTTGTTGTTTTTCTTTCGAGTGTTTGTTTTGGTCTCCATCCACTTCCTTGTTGTTGTTGTTGAATGGTTTAACTGGAAATACCGGCCCAATAGGTGAACTGCATTCAGTTTACAATAAAAGCACATGAAATACATAGCAATCGACAGGCATTTGACTTTATTTTTCTTCATCAAATGGTTTGTAAAGGTGTGGATAGCCGCTGGAACAGAAGTTTTCTATTCCTTCTCGATTGGACTGGGTGCTTTCACAGCCCTTGGCAGCTTCAACAAATTCCACTACAACTTCTATAGGTTGGTACAAAAACACTTGCTTGTAATATTCTCTTCTCGTGGCAAGAAAAGAAAAGGAGCGGGCACTATTGGCAAACTCAGAATCGCTCGATCAGCTATAAGATTTCAAGAGTTTGATTTAATTGCTAGCACCGGAACTCAATACGAAAACCATTAGTTTCGTGGAGCAGTAAGTAGACCAACAAAATGATTAATAAATAAAATAATTACTTCAACCGCATTGGATGAATCATATTCTTCATGAAATTATTGTTTTCAGGGTTTGCAGAACTTCACCGTCTGAAATTTTCAAATATTACCTTTATTTCATATATTCCACTGTTTTCGCACTAGGTATTTGAAAAAGACAGTTAAATTTTGGTTTAAGTTCATGCAAGTGTAAATTCAGGTCAATTAATAGGGATAAAATGATACCCCAACCTCCAAACAAAGTAGCGAACAAACGTCTTTCAACGGTTTCCGGTAGTGGCCTCAGGAACAACATGCTATAAACAATCTAAGAAAATCGGACACCGGAAAAGTGGTTACTTTAAAAATGGCGTCCAAGATGGCCGCCGATGAACAGATCATCAATCACAAATTAGTCGGGTCAATATAATTATGGTTAGACCCCCAACCGTTGCGGCAAGAAAAGGATTTCCAACGGTTTCCGGTGGTGTTTGACATCAGAAACAACATATGAACAATCTAAGAAATTAAACCCCCGGAAAGTGGTGGTTTTCAAAATGGCGTCCAAGACGGCCACCCAAGCCTCAAATAGCTGTAAATCAAGATATAATCATCTTAAAGATTTAATTTTGGTGTCAATACCTAGGTTTAGGGTTCGAAGAATCCATTTATAACACTAACATTACTCATTAGGTTATACCTACCAGAAAATCGGGAGATCCAAAATGGCGTCTAAAATGGCCGACAGTCTCTCAAAATAACCGGAAGTTAGTTATTATTTACAGCTGTAATACATGTAGCAATATTAAAAGTATGACCCGCCGGAACCACCGGCGATCGATGATCTGTTATTTCGGATAATAATAATGATAATTTTCAACTTTTTATATAGCGCTTATTACAATCACTAAGCGCTTCCAAACTTGGAGTTTATTACCCCGGCTTTAGCTGTGCTGCCATTACGGCGCTCAAGCATTTCAAGGAATTAATTCCTGCCAGGTACCCATTTACATCACCTGGGTTGAGTGTGGGAAATGTAGATCAATGCCTTGCCAAAGGACATTGGTGCCGCGGCAGGTCTCGAACCGCGGACCTTGTGCTCATTAAGCCCGATCCATTTTATTGATTCATTCATTTTGTTAAACTTTTTCTACTGATTTCCTTTATCTTTTGTTTTGCTACACGATATAATCTTATAGAGATAGAAAGAGACAGAGAGAGAAGAGGAAATAATGGAAAAGAACACGGATGAATGACCTTTATTATCCGCTCAAGGAAAGTAATATATACTGCAATAAGATCATAGCTGCAGGAAGAAAACATAGTGTATTTTTAATTCAGATATGGTAGACCTACGTTCATTCATTTTGATGATTTTAATTTGTCTCGATTTCTACCCGGTATGTCTTAAAGGTATAGACCAGTTTTGGAAACGCCCCCCTCTCAAAAAAAGAAATGGAAGCTCTGATTACTTATCATCTGAAAGAATATGATTTGACTAATACATGATGATACAAATTTTGCCGGGAAACCGCCTACTAATTGATACATTTGGTAAATTATCATATCGATCCGGCCTAGATAGATATATAGATATATATCCAACATTGAACATATTTTGGGCATATATTTCTGTTTTTGCGAATTTAGTTTGAAGTTCTGCCATCTAGAACCTCTGAAGGCAATATTTAAACAATATTGAATGGTTATTTTGCACCCAAAACACTTGAACCGCAATTTTACCACTAACGGTCTATGTCTTTAAGAAAAATATTTTTTAAATAGAAGGTTGGGTTTTCGGAAAGTTGAACAATATTTATGAGCTTAAAATTCTTTGTATACGGTCAGTTTGAAAGAATATCATAGTGAAAATGTCTCCTGAAAAGGATCGCTATTAAAACGCCGTCTAATATGATGAACACAAGAAAAGGATGAAAAGTGTGGACCAAACATTTATATGCAGTCCCATAACTGATTTCTGTGTGATATTTCGCAAAATGAGTCTTTTTATTAATATTAGCTGAAGCGGTTGTAGGAAAATAAAAGGGGAGCATTGGGGAGGGGATTTTATGGAACATGAGAGTTCTTGCTTTCATTTCTATACGTGCCTTTCGATTTTTGTTCAGGGGTGAGGGGGCCTTGAAGAAATGGGGAATCACCCATCCCCCCCCCTAAGCCTAACCCTAGATCTGCTACTGATGTCATTACAAGCTTTGTTTATTATAAACATCAATTCTCTTGTACTCCATAATCAGCCTTTCTCAGTTGCTTCTAGATTGTTTCTTTCACAATTTACCTGTATGATCATTACTGATTTTTATCTTCAAGGCTATTTTTTTTAATCATTATTGGTTGTCTTTAGGGACAGCATGATCGTAGCCTACTTAAATGTGATTACAAGTATCTACGGTGTTCTCATCGTCTCTTCATTCGTTGGCTTCGTAGCGACCACTGAGGGAATCCCAGTAAATGGAGCCGTTAATGCAGGTAAGATTAGTGTAAGCATTACTACCCTAATCCTACCACCGCTGTCCCTAGTGAGGAAGTGGTGTTGAGGGTTATACCCATCCCTCCCTCCAACATTAACCCTAAGACTAGCACCACTGACCTACTGGTGGGTAGAAGGACGAGGGCTTTACCCCTCCCATCCCTAACCTTAACCCTAAGCCTATCACCACTTACCTACTAGTGGGAAAGGGGTTGAGGGCTACACTCCTCCCACCGTCTAACATTAACCCTAACCCTAACATCACTCGCCTACTGGTGGTGGGGAAGGGTGAGGGCTTCACCCCTCCCACCGTCTAACCTTTACCCTAACCCTAACACCACTGACCTACTGGTGGTGAGGAGGGGTGAGGGCTTCACCCCTCCCACCTTCTAACCTTAAACATAGCCCTAGCATCACTCGCCTACTGGTGGTGAGGAGGGGTGAGGGCTTCACTTCCCACCCTCTAACTTTAACTATTACCCTAACACCACCGGCTTACTGGTGGTGAGGAGGGGTGAGGGCTTTACCCCTCCCACCCACTAACCTTAACCCTAAGCCTATCACCACTTACCTACTAGTGGGAAAGGGGTTGAGGGCTACACTCCTCCCACCGTCTAACATTAACCCTAACCCTAACATCACTCGCCTACTGGTGGTGGGGAAGGGTGAGGGCTTCACCCCTCCCACCGTCTAACCTTTACCCTAACCCTAACACCACTGACCTACTGGTGGTGAGGAGGGGTGAGGGCTTCACCCCTCCCACCTTCTAACCTTAAACATAGCCCTAGCATCACTCGCCTACTGGTGGTGAGGAGGGGTGAGGGCTTCACTTCCCACCCTCTAACTTTAACTATTACCCTAACACCACCGGCTTACTGGTGGTGAGGAGGGGTGAGGGCTTTACCCCTCCCACCCACTAACCGTAACCCTAACCCTAACACCACTGGCCTACTGGTGGTGAGGAGGGGTGAGGGCTTCACCCCTCCAACCCTCTAACCCTAACCATAATCCTAGCATCACTCCCCTACTGATGGAAAGAGAGGTTGTATTAATCTGCTACCGGTATATTTTCGTATATTCAGTTAACAACTCAATTATTTATACCCTTATGTTTGCAACTTTTGTAGGTATGTGAAAAGAAAAAAATTCTCTTATCCTCAAGCGAGGTTTTTATTTCCATAATATAATACATTTGTGCATTAATAGCTCAATAATTGAGTGAAACATAACATAGGTTAAAGATTAAAGTACATTCAACAATTCTTCCAGCTTAGTATTATTTTCTTTGCTAACACATTCATATCTTAAAAATAATCTTAGCAACGACTTGAATCCAAAAAACAAAGTATGTGGGTAGTAAACAGAACCATTAACAATCTTCTTGACGTAACATTTATAAATTGCATATTGCGCATAATTTAAAATAATATTCAGAAGTGAATATTTCTTGTTTCCAATATCCTTTCCTACAACTATTATCTTCTGGTCTATTTGTATTTCTATTTGGAATAGATTAAATAACAAATTACATATTATTTTCCAAATCATAGTCACATCCTTGCAATATAACATAAAATGAAAAGTTGAGTCAACTTGTCCACAAGAGTTGCATAAATTATTATTAACAATTTGCCATTTATATAAGTTTTCTTTTGAGGCAATAAACCTATAAATCATCTTGAAATTAAATTGTTTAACTTTATTATTACGAATTTGCTTTAATTTAAATAAAAATACATCCTTCCAAACAAATTCATTATCCAAATCTAAAAAGAAATTCCAAAAGTAAATGATATTTGGTTCTTTTGACTTATTACGTAATAACAAACGATAGTAATCTTTAACTTTCATAACAAAAACATTCACTTTATCCCCTGTTTCTATTTCTATCATATTCGAAATATCACATTCTTGTTCAAATTCATAACTTAATCTATCCAACCAACACTGTGGAAATGCTTTCTTTAATTTTGTATATTTAATCTTGCCATTCTCGATAAAACAGTATTTTTTTCTGAAAGGTAATGTTACTATTTTTCCAAATAATTTCATTTGGAATATTTCTTACTTTAAACATATCAATGAATTTTAGTTCTGACCAAGTACAAAAAAGATCTACATAGAATTCTGGCAAATTATGTTTAGAGCATAGTAAATTCATATCCTTTATGTTACAATTGAAATGTAAACATAGTGGCAAACCCCCTATTTTGTCGGACCAGTATTTAAACATATTTTTCCAATGAGAGCCATTATCATTAAAAAAACGAGATATCCATGCCAAACGAAGTGAAAATATTTTACTAGCAATATCAATCATATTCAATCCACCATTTTCAATATCATTTATAATTACATTACGTTTAATTTTATCTTTTTTGGCGTTCCATAAGAAACGAAATAATAGTCTGTTCAATATCTGTGAAACATGTGTTGGTACTGGTACAACAGTTGCGGTATATACAATTTGTGACGCCGCTAACATTTTCAAAACAATTATTCTGCCATAAAAAGTAAGATCTCTCATTTTCCACATATTTAATACATTTCGAATTTTATCTATTTTTACATTCCAGTTTAAATCTTGTAACAATTTTTTATTTTCGCCTACATATACTCCTAGATATTTTACAGGTTGATCAGTATATATAATGGCATTATCATGAACAAAATTATCTACAGTATTCAGTTTCATAACTTCTGTCTTATTCCAGTTTATTTTCGGACCTGCATAGTCTCCAAAGTCGTTGATTTCATTCATAATATATTGTATATCATTAACAGATTCCACAAATAATGTTGTGTCATCTGCATATTGGGAAATTTTTAAACTATCAATACCTAAATCAACACTGAATATATTAATCCCTTTTTATTTTGTCTTATTTTGCATGCTAATATTTCCACTACTATGTTAAAAAGTAATGCCGATAATAGGCAACCCTGGCGAACTCCTCTTCCAATAAGTAACTTTTCTGGTATGTGAAAATGCATTCGTCCCAATCTAAGTTTCTTGAAAATGTGCCATATTAAAGCTTACATCTAATAATATTTAACAAAGGCCCTTTTGCAACTAGTCCACCTTTCCCTCTTAAATTTACAAGTTATTAATTAACAAGGGGTATTACTAACTTCATTTAAAACTGTATATTTTATTCTTGCTTGCGAAAACCGATGATTATGAGGAGCTTGAGGACTTTCCGTCCCCTCCCCCTGTTTCGTATAACGTTTGAAATTAATACGTTGTGGGCTACTGAGTACCACATTAATCTACCAATGATACATCTTGGTGGTAAGGAAAATTGTCAAAATGATTACCCCCTCCTGCTTAAATAATTATCATTCTGTATATTTATATGTACGTCCTTTGATATAAATCAGTTATTTCGTTTTCTTTTTTATCATTAATTTTGATTTTGTTTGATTACTTTAGGTCCTGGTCTTATTTTCGAGGTCTTTCCGCGTGCTTTTGCTGCGATGCCTTCATCAAGGGTCTCGGCAATTTTCTTCTTCCTAGTGGTCCTAACGATTGTGCTAAACTCTCAGGTAATCGGGGAAGGAACAAGGATTGGGGTAGTCCAGTTTCAGTCCGTTCTTTGTTTTGATTCTTCTATCACACGCATCGATCCCACACACAGTGCGGTCCCTCCACTGATCGCGCGATCCCCCAAATTTCCGTCCATTATCGGGGTACATTCACTGACATCTAGAGGTCAGGTGGTACATTATGAGGGGAATGGCTAGGTCTACATTCCACGTTGAGGGTGTGTTATTTGATCAGCTGATTAGGCGCGCGACACGGAAACGGTACACAGGCTGGACTAGGATTTGGCTAAAGTGGGATGGCGGAGGTCAGAATTCTGACAAGAGTTAGGGTACGTTTATGGTCAACTTTTTCTGGCCAGAATGAGGCATTTGTTACGCGTTTAGTTCAAAACACGGTTGCGTCCTTTCTCATTTTGGAGAATCGCAGAAAAACGGCGATCATAATCGCCGATCGTAAACTCACGAAAAGGTGCGTTTTGAATCGGTGATTCTGGGGAAGCATAACCGCACAATCATTTGTAAACGCGTTTAAATGGGGTCAACATAGCATGCGCAGTGCAGACTTTGCACTGCACTTACTCTGGCTCCTCCAGGCATGATCCTGGCTCTCAGCCAGAATCATGCCTGGAGGAGCCAGAGAAAAGAGCATTTACAGTACACCGTGGAACTGCGATTACGATGAGCGTTTACGATGAGCGTTTCAAATCGCTCATTCTGCCTTCAAAATTGAGCATAAACGTACCCTTAGAGGCATCAAAATCATCAGAATGTCTTTACTGCCCTTTTTACTCTTAATACCTATATCTGACAAGCAAAAACAAAAATCATCACATATTTTCTATCATGATGTGTAGCAAAAATTAAGCTTACAAATCTCTGACAAGGAAAACGGAGCGGTCTGGACCGCATTGACCCCCTCTGGATCAGCCTTTGCAAGTTTAATGTCTATCAACGAAATGGCTATAAGAAAGACATTGTGGATCATCATACCAAAATCCTTAAATTTCAATGTTTTTAACTCGACTGTTTTCATTTAACAGTATTTGTACCATAAGCAGGTTTCAGAATGTATTGATTTGAAACAGAATTTAATTTAATCTATACCTGATATTTTTTTTTAAAAAGACTCGATCGAGAATCTTTATCTATAGATTGCATTTGCTTCACCTATACCTATACTTAATTTCCCAATAGTAAGACCTATAATTTATTTCCCATTCGCCCTTTTAAATATGTTTAACTTTGATAACCTTTTCAACCTCTACAACATTACAACTGTGTAAGGTCTGTAATGGCCGAAAAGGCCAACCCTTCTTCAATTTCTTCAAAATTCTTCAACAATTTCCAACCTTCAATCTTTTTATCTTTTTCTCAACCTTTAAACCGTTTCGACCTTTTTCATCCGCTTAATTTAAGCCTTGTCATTCCTTTCAACATCTTAAATATTTTCAAAAACTTTGAGAAAAAAAATGATTCTTCGTTCCTCTCAAATCATGTAATGTTTTGATACTCTGATAATATCGGCAAAAAATTATGTGGATGTGAAAGCATAGTTTATAATTAATTTTCTCCCTTAAAACGCAACCAACACTCCCCATTTCATGAACTAAAAATTTGTTATCATCCTTTTTTCTACGTTAGCTCGTCATGGTAGGGGCGTTCATCACGTCTGTCTTGGATCTTTTCCCTACCTCGCTGCGGATTGGGTATTATAAAGGGCTATTCGTATTGGGAGTCTGCTTTGTAAACTTCCTGATTGGCCTTAGTATGGTAACTCAGGTACGATATCGACACGTAAAGATATTTAGTGGTCAAGAACATTAAATTAATGAAAACATAATACTACCAATGATAAACTTATTGATATTGGATATTTTTATAAGGCACATATTCACCATGCACGGTACGTGCTCATGGTGCCTACCCCGGCTCCGCGAGGCTACCGGTTTCGGTGCTCACATGGCATCCAAGGAACTCGTTCCCACCAGTACCCATTTAACACCTGGATGGAGAGTGGCATATGTAGATTAATGTCTTGCAAAAGGACATTAGTTCCGTTGGAGAACTTGAACTGCGATCCCTTCGATCCACAATCTGAAGACGTTTCCACTTGACCACTACAGCTTTAGACTTCTGAGGGCTGTTGATGAAGAATTCATTTATTAATTCTATTTTATAGAGGAGTATATGATAATATCGGCCTGATAATAAATATTTTATTTTCTTATAAAATGTATAACTTCCTTCTTGGGAATGTCAGATTTTCGTCCAACATTCATTAATCTGTTTATGCCAATTTCCGCCTGCCTCTACTGAGATCGACTTGAAATCAGATTTGACAAAGTTCTCGTTCCTCTGTTGAATCGTTCAAGAAGTATCTTGTAACATATTTACATGTATTTACATTGTAGTTAACTGTGTGATGTTTATATTATATTCTTGTTATTAGTTTTTAGTTTACGATCATCAATTCGATATAGTGCTATGAAAGAAACCAGTACTATATACATTTATTATCAATATAATTATTTTCATTAGCATTATATTTACTGTTATTATTATTATCAATACTGTATTTAATGGGCCTTATTGAAAGAGTCAAAAAGCCAGTGAGGAATATGGACTGTACCTCATTATTAAGAAGACAAAGGTAATGATATGTGGAGGAAAGAAGGGCCATCATATTCAAGCTGATGGAGAGGATATCGAAGTAGTCAACCCTGTCTAATTGTGGATGGTGGTGGAAGCTCACCATAAATTAGATGACGTCTCGCCATGACTAGATCATCTGCCATAAGCCTTACTGACATTTGGAAAGATAGAGAGATCTCAAGGAAAACCAATATTCATATGATGATTGCTCTGGTCTTTTCAATCGCTACATACGGGTCAGAGACGTGGTCGCTTGGAGCAGCAGAAAATCCATGCTTTCGAAATGTAGTGTTGGAGGAGGATGCTGAGGATATCCTGGACGGCTCATAAATCAAATGATTTTGTCAAGATAAAAATTGAAGCGGAAGCCACCCTATGCCAGAAAATAGATAATAACAAGTTGCGGTATTTTGACACATATCAAGGAGAGAAGGTGACAACATGGAGAAGATCATAACCCAAGGTCACGTTGAGGGTCAACGGAAACGTGGTTGGCCAAAGGTTCGATGAGCTGATGGACTAAAAAAAAGATTACTGGCATGAACATCTGCACAGCTAATCGCTATGCCCAGGATAGAATTGGTTGGAACTTCATTATATATAGGGTCACTAAGGGTCAGTCATGACTTGTAGGACGCCGACGACGACGAGGATTATCACTAATGATATTATCATTATTAGTAGTAGTTGTTGTAGTAGTAGTAGTAGTAGCAGTGGCAGTAGTATTGTTATCAATATTATTATTATCATCATCATTATGATTATTATATTTGTTGTTATTATTGATTACATTTTAGGGTGGTCTCTACGTCTTCACGCTCTTCAGTAACTATGGGGATAGTGCCTTCCCTATCGTTTGGATATGTTTCTTCGAGAGCATCGCCATCGGATGGTTTTATGGTAAAAATTTCTCTTTGATTTGATCAGAGATAAGGAAACGAAACAAGCCATTACCCAATTTAAATCATTATTATGTATGACTATTAGTTTAACATCACCAAATTTAACCATGTTTTGTATCCTATTTCTGTGTAAACGGTGGATTAGCCTTAACTCTACATGTGAGCGAAACAACTGCCCATGTTGAAGGTATAGAGTGCGTCCCAGAAAAAACGAAACCGAGAATTATCGATGTTTTATCATAACTTAATCACAATTATAATTGATAAATGACACATATTTGTAAAGCTTAGATCCTCTTCTTTCATTTGATGGAACTCATATAATGCATATTTCACGCATGAGTGATTAAAAGCAATTTGAAGAGAGGAACCAAAAAGTCATTTGGCGGGCGGTATCTGATTTTCAAGGAGAAAATCACTTTTCTAGAAAGTTCAATTTCTGACCTTTCATATGACACCTCAATCAGGAAAAATGAGCCAGGAATAACAAAGTTATGTTTGTTTTAAAAAATGCTTGCATTTCCATAATTTGATCAAACGAGTTCGTTTTCACTGGCTGCTTGCCGTAGCAACACACAGAGTTGACAAAAGTCTTAACTCAGTTTCGTTGAAAATCAGCCATGCATCAGGTCTTTCGTGTTATTTGTGCATGGCTGATCGTCAACGAAACGGAGTCCTTTGTCAACTCTGTTCGTTGCAACGGCAGGCAGCCAGTAAAAACGAACCCATTTGAGCAAATTATGGAAATGCAAGCATTACTTTAAACAAACAGAACTTTGTTATTCCTGGCTCATTTTTCCTGATGGAGGTGTCATATGAAAGAGGAGAAATTGAACTTTCTAGAAAATTAATGTGATTTTCCTATTAAAATTCAGATACCGCCCGCCAAATGACTTTTTGGTTTCCGCTCTATTCAAATTACTTTTAATTACTCATGCGTGAAATATGAGTTGCATCAAATGAAAGATGAGGATCTAAGATTTCCAAATAGGTGTCATTTATTATAATTATAATTGTGATTAAGTTATGATAAAACATCGATAGTTCTCGGTTTCGTTTTTTCTGGGACGCACTGTATATTGGACAAATCAATACATTGAATGGAGGTTAACTGCCCCTGATCCCAAGTGAGGCGAAATTTGTATCTGTTATGTTTTTTTTTTAATGGAACATGTATGTTCGTTGGGTTTAATTTTACCAAATATTGAGTAAATTGTCATCAATTTTGGTACATGCGTTAAATCGTACCAAATGATTTTCACTTTCCTTGTTTTCCCATCATCAGTAAAGATAAAAGATCGAACATTGTCGAGATTCTAAGATGGAGACACCTTATGGTACATCGTTAAGCTGGTCAGTCACAACGTAGAAAAACTAGATTTATGTGTAATTTTTTGACATCTTAGGGCATCAATAAGATTATCGAAAATTATCAAAGTATTGAAAGGAATGTGTAACTTTTTGATTTTCCATTCTTACCTCTTTTCTTTTAATAAAGGTGTTAGAAGGTTCTCCCGAGACATTGCCGAGATGCTGAAATGGCAACAGATTGAATGGTACATAATCTGCTGGCCAGTCACTGTTCCTATTATTGCTCTGGTAAATATCTCTCCGAATATAGATGGCCCTTATTCTACTGACATTTAAAGTGTAGAAATCAATAGGATATATTTTGCATTGTATGTTAAGGATTTCAAGTTGCTATACTACAATGAATATTTGAGCTTCAAACAATATTATAAAGAGATATTGCGAGTTAAAATACTCTTTCACTAGATACAAAACTAGTAAACTAGTCGACGCATCGTAATTGCATGGAGTAGAATAAGGTGCTCGAGGAACCCAAGTCTGATTTGGGTTCCGTACGCGCCGTTAACTACCCCCTAGGACAACTACCCCCGGACAACTACCCCCGGATAACTACCCCCGAACAACTACCATCCGGAAAAATACCCCTACGGCAACCATCATCTAGGATAACTACCCCTCGGACAACTATCCTAGAGAGTAGTTGTCCGGGAGTAGTTGTCCGGGGTAGTTGTCTGGGGGTATTTGTCCGGGGGAAGTTGTCCTAGGGAGTAGTTTTCCTAGGGGGTAGTTGTCTGGGGGTAGTCATCCTAGGTGGTGGCTGCCCTAGGGTTTGGATGTCCAGGGGGTAGGTGTCCGGATACGCTTCCAAACTGACAAAAAATAAGAAAGCTCACAATGAATATTTAAACCTCGAATTAAGCAGGACTCGACTTTCTCTTTATTCTACTCTACAGTGCGTCCCAGAAAAAACGAAACCGACAATTTTTTTACTATAACTTAATCACAATTATAATTAATAAATGACACATAAATTGGTAAGCTTAGATCCTCCTCTTTCATTTCATGGAACTCATATGATGCATATTTCACACATGAGTGATTAAAACCAATTTGAAGAGAGGGTAACAAAAGATTTGTCAAATAATCGTGTAAAATACATTCTATTCTCAGCTCGTTTGGATCGGCAACATAGTGTACTGGGCCCCGCTGTCCTATTTCCCTGGCTACCCGAGATGGGCCGACGGGCTCGGCTTCTGTATGACCCTCTCGTCGATGGTGTGCATTCCCGCAGGAGCGGTCTACTCCATCTTCTATCACATGATCAAAGGTGAAGGGCCCACTATGACGGTAAGATTATGAACAGGCTTTTAATTGGTGATCGTCAAAGGGAATACGGCTTCCCTTTGAGCAACGGAAATTCACTTTCTTCTCTTTTATTGGGGGGGGGGGGGTATATAAGTGCCAATTCCAAAAGAAGCCTAAGGTAATTGTATGTGAAGATTTTCGGACAATTAGCCTTATGAGCCATGTAACCAAGCAAGTTGCTCTTAAAGATCATTCTCAACAGAATCAAAATTCACATTGGCAATGAAGTAGGAAAGGAACAGTTTGGTTTCAAACCCCCGGCCCCCCCCCCCCCCACTCAGGGGTCGGAATGACCGCATGCGTGTTGCCAAAATGTCCGGTAAAGGGGTACTTTTCGTGCGACAAAGTCCGGCCCGAGAATTGTAAAAAAAGGGTGTATTTGACTTTCACCCGGAGATTTCTTCAAAAAAGGGGTGTTTTTTTCTTCTTTTTTCTCAACTCTTTGGACTCCTGAGAAATTATTCCGAATTTATGGGGGTACATTGAGCATTTTTCCTGATTTAGGGGGGTCTCCAAAGCAGGAAAAGGCCGCGAAAAGCCCGCGAAAGGGGGTTTCGAAAATGTTGGCAGTCCTCAGATAGGGGGTGCTTTAAAAAATAGGGAACGAGCATATGCGTACCCTAAATAACACTGAGTGGGGGGCCGGGTTCAAACCTCAAAGTGGTACTAGAGAAGCCATATTCGTTTCGTTTGAAGTCCACTCCATGATGTCAGATAAATAGTGAAATTCACTCTCATAAGAATTATTAAACCATTCTTCTTCCAGTGCAATTCTTCATGTTCTCTTCTCTTTTTTTTTTGGGGGGGGGGCTTCACTCCTCACATTGCTGCGTTACAATAAAATCCTTTTTGTGTGTGTGTGTGTGTGTGTGTGTGTGGACATTAGTGCCTTTCAACATGTTAATAATTCAATAATATTCAACAATAATTCTTCATTTTGTTTTTCTCCATTTCAGAGGCTGAAAAAGGTTATCCAACCCACTATCGTTCCCTTTCGTTACGAACTACATGTAGAACCAGATGGTGTGGAAATGACCTAATTTCATGAGAGTCAATTAAAAAAAAACTTTATGTAATAGTGGAAAAGATTGAAAAAAATAATCACTTGCAGTTTTGAAGTCGTATGCTATCTCTGAAATGATACGAAATTATATAAATACTTTAAATTGTTTAATTTTCTTCGGTTTCAATTTATATTTGATGATAATTCCAAGTCATTGGATTGCAAACTTATAATAGCCTATTCAATTTTACCTCAATGAAAAATTGTGATTTTGAAATATTGGGCAAAATTCGTAAAAGAACAAAAGCAGTTCAATAATTATGCTTTTTTTTTTCCTCCTCAAAATTATTATGGTAGCTTGGCTTACAGTAAATTTTATTCGTATTTGAAAAGATCGGCGTAGGCGTAGTTATGGGCGCAATTTTTTTTAATGAGCTAACGTTTAATGTTGTCCAAAATTAATACTTCTTTCGACTTTCTATATCTCGCGAACGAGGAGCAATTTTGACACCATCACGATATAGCCAAATGTAGGCCTGTAGCTTGATTATTACCATATCATGTCGAATTTGTAGTATACCTTTTTTTACATTCTCATATACTTGAAAGGCCTATATCATGAAAAACATGAATTGGTACGTGGGTGCGTGGGTGAGTGTGCATGTTGTAAGTATTTCTACAATATTATTACACGAAGGTTTTGATTCATTTTAACAAGTATTTAAAAACAATTAAGGTTATTAATATGTCATATTCTCTTTCTCTCTGATGTCATGTGTTCTACTCTCACCTTCAATTGAAATGCATGTACAGTACTATGATATAATTTACTCACTTTTAATTATTTTAATCTACTAATTTTAAGTGTACTAAAATTGGGATTAGCCTTGACTGTCCGATTGCTTTTGCTAATCCGTCACCTCCACTATAATCAATCCTTTTTGTATTTCTCATGTCAGCTATATATGTATGTGTATGTATGCCATATGTCGTTTCGTATATTTACTTCAAATTGCTTTATTTCGTTGGTATTATATATTTTTAAAGAAATAATCAAATAAACTGAATTGAAAAATGTTGTGGACTGAAATTTATTTGAGATTTAAACTTGATATATATCTAATCATGCTTACGCTTTCCTTGGATGGTGGATTTTCATTTATAACTGGGCCTTTACAAAACCTAACTGAGCTATAATTATAGCTGCAAGGTAAGTGGCATTGGCTATATACATAACTTAAGTAATTCATAGTACTGGCCCTGGTGCATCAGTAGGCATTTGGTGTCTGACATGGAAAATTTTCACAATGTCATCAAATAATTTCCCTTCAAATTAATGATCGCACATCAAAAGTATGAAATAATTATTCTTGTGTTTAGATATATAAAAATGATAAACTCTGATTTATGGAATAACCTGTATATCAACCCAAGGCCAATTTCGATACATCCCATTAAAAAAAAATCATTTTCGGATTAAGTAAAATGCACATTTCAATCATGTCATTATAGGTGACGGACAAAACTACTGTAATTGCCTTTGGTTGATTTTTGTTTTGTATGGTTACTCTCATGTTCCGTTAAACATAAGAATAGGGGGAAAGTAAGACAATTCAAACGCAGAGTAAACGACTTCGTCTTGAACTTATGAATCACACATATTTTAGTTTAAATTATATATTTCTATCTATTTTTTCTTAAATTTTCTGCTGTTATATGTTTAAATTAAGTTTTATATTATATGTTTTTGCATTGTTTTTATATACATATAAGGAGTTATTTGCGCTTGCATGTAGGCCTATGCATAATTCGACCTCTATTATTACATGTACTGAAATGAATTGTGGAGAAACAATAATTGTAACATGTTTTTTTTAATGGAAAATAAATGATTTGATTTGATTTGATGCTTTTTTAATGATAGCAGTTATTCCTTTTGTGTAGTTTACAGTGTCTTCGGATATTTAAGGATTATTAGGATTTCAACTTACTTCAATGCATGGGCGTCAATAATAGGGGGAACAGGGGGACATCCCCAAAAAAAAATCAAGGGTAGGGGACACAATATCAAATGCCCCCCCCCCCCCATGTTTTTGACCTCCTTTATCATAAAGCTCAGGTATTGCACTGTGTAAGTTCGAACCCTGTGTCCCGTTGCCCGTGGCACACACCTTAGTTATGTTTTGTATATAAATTCGAGGGCAAGTCTTATTACCTGTTGAATTTTAAATGAAGCGTGAAATAATTTTGAACTTCACCTGCAGGACCAGACGGTCTGAGAAGCTAAAAGTGAAATTTGGTGTTATTGGCTTTTCAGTGTTCTCATTTTACTGCAAATCAAATTTAACAAGTATATTTGTATAGTATTTCGTATTTGCCCCCGAAAATGTGAAAATCGCACCGACCACTATTTCGCTCAGTAGGGGGTGGGGGCAGTGTGAACACTAACTAAAAAATATAAAAAAATCCAGGGGGGCCGGGCCCGTATGTGAAAAATTGGGTACTAGCCCATTGACTGTGGCCTAAAATGGAGTTTTACTGATAGGTCACTTCACAAAAATGGCATACGTAGTCCTTTTTTGTGGATACTTTTTTGAGCAAAACACAAAGTAGGTGGAGCCAACGTCTACACACGTCACATCGCACCCATGGAGGTTTTGTGTCTGTGTCCTTCCCTGGCTTTTCACGCGACACATATCTTCCCTCATGTCTTTTTCGAGATGCCCCACTTTCCGAGGATCTATTCCCTTCGACACAGCTAGAGCGTTCTGCAATTGAAAGCGAAATGTGCGAGTCAGGGGCGGCGATCCCGGGGGGGGGGCACTTCCCCCTCATTTTTTGTAGGGGGATGTGAAGGGCCCAAGAGTGCAGCGTTTAGCCTAATACAAATGCGAAAAATCTTCACGCACGGTCGCTACGCTCCCTCGCATAATATCCTTCAAATAGATGAGTAAATATTGAAGAAAATATGTATTCAGTTGGTATCACGTAAGCATAGTTTACATTGTATGTTTACAAGATTAAGAGTTATAGGATAAGATTTGTGGCACAAAAATGAATTTTCAGCTTGCTTTTTTAAAAAGTCCCTTTCTGCCTACTTACTAAAATTTACCTAATAAATATTTACAACCCTTCGGAATGCACACTAGATAGCGGCAAAGTAAAATTGAAGTGTGAAAAAAGTATATTGCTTGTTTTTATACTATAGTTTTGCTAAAGAATGTAATTTTGTAATATACAACAAACCTGTGAGGGGGTAGCATAGCATAATGCTCCGATTGTCTCATTTTCGCTCGCTCGATCACTGCAGCACAAACATAGCTCGTTCGACGTCACTACCAAACTAGCCAATCAGCTGTCAATGACGTCATATTGAATGCGGCGGCAAATATATTTTGTGAAATTATTGAGAAATTGACTATTTCTAATTGCAAACTAGTTTTATTTTTGGATGGAAAAGCAGCCATTGTTATCTTGACATTCATTGAAGTCATCAGAATAGGGTAAGTTACTTCTCAGATGATTCAAGAGGTCCAGTTCGTAGATAATTTTTTAATTTCTTAGAATGTTCCACTGTGTTGCAGGGTACCGGGTGTATGCCATTGGGTGTGATGTGTTCGCGCGCTATAAGTACAGGCCACCGCGCCGTCGGTGTATTCTCGTACTGATGTAGGTGCAAAGCTAGAATGGCTACCGCGCCCACTTCCCTCTCTATGCCTTTCTGAACATTCCTTTCCTTCTCAATACAATAACTTTCACCTGCCTAAGTTATTCAAACCATACCGTCTCGCCACTTCCATTACGTAATCATTAAAAGGATCCGCATATACAACATTTTCCTGCTATACGTTGTACTGCAGGAAAATACAAATCTCCCTGGTATATACCTTACAGTCCAAACGATAAATATGTGCCTTTAACGAAGCAGGCGACAATCGGCGTAGCAGACGACACATGATAGTAATTTTGTATGTGAGATTGCTTTGCTAAATATTAATTACTTTGTTAATAAATATCAACTAAAATTTCTTTTACATTTCTTTAAACCATCATTGATATTTAATAATTCATGAGTGAGTAAAAGAAACATACCAAACTATATAATTATATGAAATACTTGGTGGCAATTAAGGGAGTTTGACGTGATGACCGATTGCACCCCTTTGTTAATAACCGAATAGTCCATGGTGTGTCATGAATATTCATGTTTTTGCTTACCTCGGCTAAATGTTTGCTTTTACTAAGTTGAAAAATTACGGTTGGGGGTTGGATGAAATGGACATAATGAAATAGGCAGAAGTGATCTATGATAATTCATGCTTTTTATGTTTCGTGTGCTCGACCTATAATATAATCTTCAAATCGCTTGGCAAACTGAGTCCAAAGTTGGACTTGTTTCACATGTGTATTATAGGCAATGACGAGCTTGCAACCTATTTTGAAAAATTACGGTGGGTGAACTTTCAAAAGTCAATGAGACATGAGGGCTCCAATGAAAGAGCTAGTGATAACGTACGTCGGTGTGGATGTGCTTTTCGTTTAAACAAAAAATGAATTTTTAACGATTTTTTAAAAAAATGTCCATAGGCTAACATGTTAGGCTGCTGACTCTGACCATGCTCTGACGATAGGGGGCGTTGTGAAATGAGACTAAACGGAGCAATATGAGCTATATAATAAGACTTATCATATAGCTCTATAGGGGGGGGGGTAGTCACTTCCGTCACCTCCTCCCCTTTTACTGGCGTACTGACCAGTAACCCCCCCCCCCCCCCAATATAATCAAACATGGTTTATTTCTAATTTGATACCAGCAATTTACAAATGTTGCTAAAATGGCATTGTTTTCCCCTGGGATCCCGGGGCTCTACCCCCATGGACCCTTCCGAGGCCCTAAGGCGGCCCCTAGATGCTCATCCGTCTGATCGTAATTCGATGCCTTAAAACCCTGAGCTTCTGGGGGCGCCGCCCCATAGGCCTCACTCCAAATCAGTGACCTGCCAGTATCACACAATATGCTCATCTGACCATAATTAAATACCTAAAGAACCCCTGAGCTTCATGGGGCTTCGCCCCTTGACTCCCGCCGGGGCTTTGCCCCTGGACCCCACGCCAATTTCAGCTTTTTACTTCGCTCGCTTTGCTCTACCTGACCGTAAATACTTGAGCCCCCCCCCCCCAACATCCCCAACGTTTCTGCTCATAACGCCACTGGCCCCTCTTGCTCACTATGTTCCCTCGTCCCTCGCATTTCGTCCCCGCCCCCGGTCATGAAAAGAAATCGCCGCCCCTGATTAAGAGTGTAGAAGCCCTAATTGATTGGAGAGCCAACCAGCTAGCTTTAAACTATCCTCTTCTCTTTCATTATGGATTTCCCCCTTTTTCCTTATCCATATCCTCTCCACTCTCCTAATGTATTTCTTTGTTTTCCCTTTTCTATTATCTTCACTTCCCTGGGTTGCTGCTGGTGATTGTAAGCGGTGTGTGTGTGTGTGTGTGTGTGTGCGTGTGCGTGTGTGTATGTGTGTTGAGTTTTAAAAGCGGTGTGCGCTGATGACTAAGACTCTTTCACCAGAGCACTTTTAGGATTTTTTTCGCAAAAATGGCCAAACAGTTGTGTAAAAAATATGCGCATCCGGGATATGTATGCGTTCCACCAAGGCTGCATCGCACCGCAACACCGCATACATTAATATAAAGTTTACACACTGAAACCTGAAAGAGAACGTCATGCAGTGCTGAGTCACAGCTACCGTACAAGTGTTTAACCCCGCCCCCCCCCCCCCCCCCAGAACAAACTCAGTTTTGGCACGTACTTAAGTCTGGTTATTGAGCGCAGAAGTGCATATACTGGACAAGACACTATGACATACATTCGGCGTTCATATCATCATAGCTCGAAATATATCTTGACTATAGGACAGACCTGTATACCAGCTAGACCTATCATACCGAACTATAGAATATGTCGGACCAGGCAGCGAAGGATCGGGAACGGTGGAGTTGGCGATTTGAATCTTTAGGGACGAACATCGGCTTCGTAGCCTGCTTTCAGAATTTATGGCGCTTCCCTTACCTCTGCTACTCCAACGGTGGTGGTAAGTATTTTGATCTGGCATGTACATCATGATGGTTGCTCTATGTGAGGGTGGGTTCCGTCAGACCTCAGAGTTCGGGAATTCGCATGTATTTATGGTAGTCGTATGCATGAAATCTAGGTCGAAGTGCGAGAAAACACCCGAAGTTCAAAAAGTTCATTTCATTCAAAACCGCACAAAAACATGACCCTTTTAGAAGGTAAACTTGTGAACGGGGCCATAATATAGTCTTCACTAATGTATACATTAACCATATGGCAAGGTGAATGTAAAGAATGTAACTTATAAACAAGTGATGGGAACACTAAGCTACAGAATATAGAACACACGAATACTCACACACACACACACACACGCACACATACATACACAGCAAACACACTGATGAGTAGGTCCTTTGTGGTCGAAAAGTATTTGAAAATGAGAAATTATTAAGATACGAACAAAATTATGTCACTCTTTCAAGTAGGTACGTTTTAAATAACCTTCTAAACCTAGAATTAAAAAGAGTTGTACTGTTTTTTATATCATCAGGCAAACTGTTCCATTCTTTAATGCAATAGATATTGAAAGAGGTCCGATCGAGTGACATTTTGTTCTTGCAAAAGGCTGATTTTGACGTGTATTTTAATTATGAATTTGTGAGTTCTGACGGAATAAATCTTTTAATGTACATTCATGAGGCATAGACTTAAGTTTAAATATAAACAATACGCAATTGAACGACACAAGTCCACTTAGTGGTAACATTCTTAGTCGAAGGAACAACGGAGAACTTGGATGCCTATAATCAGAATTAGTAATAAGCCTTATACTGCCTTCGCCTGCAATACTCTCCACTTATCAAGATATGACTTTATTACTAAAGTGTTTCCCCAAGCAACATTACAATATGTCAAATAATGAAGAATGATACTATTATATACCGTTATCAACACTCTTTCGGGTAAAGTAAATTTTGATCTAAAATGACACCTACACTTCCCGACAACTTTGTGCATACAGCATTTAAATGATTTTCCAAGATAAATGCTCATCCATAGTTAACCCTAAAAACTGAAAATTTTCACTGAGCGCAACATTAAGAAAAGTCATACATCTGGAAGCTTTTTATTCTTTGAGCGAAAAATAACACTTTGGGTCTTTTGAACATTCAACAATAACTTGTTGCAACAAACTTACAATCCCCTAATTCTGCGAGAAAAGGTATATTGACATGAAACTTCAGGCATAGTTAGATTCAAGGGCAGGCGCGGATCCAGGATTTCTTAGGGGGGGCCAAATTTGAAATTATGCGAGCCAAAGATTGGTACGTAATGGTGACCAGCAGTGACGTAATGCAGGGGGATGTAGGGAGGGGCCAGTTTCCCCCTCCCTCCTCTGCAAAGCGCGGAAGCTATATATGACGTTTCATTAAAGTATTAGAGAAAGAAGACAATTCGTTGTACCGTTCTCGACTCTTAATCCTTGTCTAAATTCACCCACCCCCCCTCCGCGCAGCGCGGAAGCTTTGACGTTTCATTAAACTATTAGTGAAAGAAGACGATTCGTTATAGCGTTCTCGAAAATTATCCTCGTTTGAATGCAATTTTCCCCTCCCGCGCAAAGGAAACTTTTACGTTTTATTAAATCATTGAAGAAAAAAACGATTCGTTGTACCGTTCTCGACTCTTAATCCTTGTCTTAATTCAGCCTCCCCCCTCTCGCGCGAAGCGCGGAAGCTTTTACGTTTCATTAAATCATTGGAGAAAGAAAACGATTCGTTGTATCGTTCTCGACTCTTAATCCTTGTCTTAATTCAGCCCCCCCCCCTCCGCGAAGCGCGGAAGCTTTGACGTTTCATTAAATTATTAGAGATAGAAGACAATTCGTTGTACCGTTTTCTATACTCTTAATCCTTGTCTTAATTCAGTCCCCCCCCCCCCTCCGCGAAGCGTGGAAGCTTTGACGTTTCATTAAATTATTAGAGATAGAAGACGATTCGTTGTACCGTTCTCTATACTCTTAATTCTTGTCTGAATTTCAAAGATGTTTTTTGTCTGCTCCTTTTTCTCTCTACGTCCTATTCCTTTCCTCTCCTCTCTATTTGTTTTCTATCCCGCCCCCCCCCCCCCCCTGGCTACGCGCCTGCGGTCAGATAAACAAATGTTGATACCTTGTCCGACCCGGGAAGCTCAGGGGTTTTAGGCATTTGATTACGGTCAGATGAACATATTTTTATACCTTATTTGTGACACTGGCAGGACACTAATTGGCGTGAGGTCCAGCGGGCGAAGCCCCCAGAAAACAGGGGTATTAGGCATTACATTTCCGTCAGATTAGCATCTAGGGGAGTCTAGGGCCCTAGGCGGGGTGCAAGGGACGGAACCCCGGAAGCTCAGGGGTTTTTAGGCGTTTAATTCCGGTCAGATGAGCAGCTAGTTAACTATTCTTTCTTTCTTGCTCTCTTTATTTCTATTTCTCTTTACTATACCTTTTTTTTTAAAGTGGAGGGGGGGGGGAGCTCGAGGCTTGCGATTCCAGCCGATCCCCGGGCCCTAACTTTTCTCAAGAATCATATTTCTTGCCTGGCTGTAAATTTAGGAATTTGTCATTTTTCAACAAACGCATACAAAAGTATAATTTACTAAAAACTGAGGAAAAATTTCGAAGAGATATTCAACATTATTTGTAAGCCACCGTTATGGAATTAGAAATAAACCACGTTTGAATTTGAATTCCCCCAAGCCCCCCCTCCTATCAGTACGCCAGTGCCCCTATTTCTTCTTTCTCTTTTTTTCTTCTTTCCCTTTCTCTCCTCCTTAAGGTTTGCCGGGGGTTGGGGGGGCAAGGGCCTTTCGGCCCCCACCCCGATCCACGCGTTGTTGGCGGGATTAACCGGAACTGATCTCCCGTTCTTTTCACCCTTTTCTTTTCTTCTTCCTCTTTTTTGTTCCCTTTTAGCTCTCCTCTTTCCCTTTTCCTTCTTTCTCTCTTTGTTATAGCGGGGACATGGGGAGGTAAGGGCCTTTTGCTCCTCCTCGATCCACCGGCGGGAAAACTGCAAATGATATCCCCTTTATTTTATTTTCTTCTTCCTCTTTTTCCTTCCCTTTATCTCCTCTTACCCTTTCCCTTTCCTTCCTTCTCTCTTATTTTTTGATTGGAGGGGGGGTGCAACAACTTGGGAGGCAAGGCCCTTTCGCCCCCCCCCCCCCGATCTCCTTCTTCACCCGTTTCTTTTCTTCTTCCTCTTCTTTCTTCTGGCGCTACACCTCTTACAAAAACAAAATGCAAAAATATCCAAAAAAGAGAGGACTGCAATGGGGAACTTTGTTTTAGCTATGCGACCATTATTCTCTCATTTCCTTTCACATTGTATCTCATAACCATGAGAATTGCCAAGCTATTGTATACGTTATTTCGTTACACGCACACACACAAACACACGCACACACACAAACACACGCACACACACCCACACATACACACACACGCACACACACGCACACAAGATCATAACCTGCACGAGTCTACAAGGTGTGAGAAAACTCTGATTCAGGAAAGAATACAAGGGTGAAAGTAAAAGCGAAAAAAAGTGGACACTCTTACATGGCTTCCATGGATGCCGTCTTTGTTCTCTTTTTGTCTTCTTCTTACTCCTTGACCGTTCGCGCATATCTTTTTTTTACAAAACTGTTTAGCCATATATAGTACATGTGCAAGCACGTATACCCAGGGAAGGGAATGTAATAGAAAAGGGAAAACAAAAGAATACATAAGGAGAGTGCAGAGGATATGGAGAAAAAAAGACAAAGAAATACATAAGAAATACATAACGGAAGGGCTTTTAGGCACCAAATTACGCATCTAGGGACCCGCCTTAGGCCCCTTGGTTGAGTCCAGAGGGCAGAGCCCCCGAAAGCTCAAGGACTTTAGGCATTTAATTACGGCCAGATGAGCAAACAGGGGCCCGCCTTAGGGCCCTTGGTGGGTTCCAGGGGGTAGAGCCCCCGGGAGCTCATAGAAAAATACTGCCATTTTAGCAATACTTGTAAATCACTGGTATCAAATTAAAAATAACCCATGTTTAAATTGTATTGGGGGGGGGTTACTGCCCCCCCCCCCCCATCAGTACGCCAGTGAAAGAGGCGGAGGTGACGAAAGGGACTACCCCCATAAAGCTGATGATAAGTCTTATATGTAAACCCCTCACAGGTATTTGAAGTTTTGTTGTGTTACAAAATTACATTCTTTAGCAAAACTACAGCATAAAAACAAGCAATATACTTTTTTTTACGCTTCACTTTTACTTTGCCGATATACTTGTTTAGCCATATATAGTACATGTGCAAGCACGTATACCCAGGGAAGGGAATGTAATAGAAAAGGGAAAACAGAAGAATACATAAGGAGAGTGCAGAGGATATGGAGAAAAAAAGACAAAGAAATACATAAGAAATACATAACGGAAGGGCTTTTAGGCACCAAATTACGCATCTAGGGACCCGCCTTAGGCCCCTTGGTTGAGTCCAGAGGGCAGAGCCCCCGAAAGCTCAAGGACTTTAGGCATTTAATTACGGCCAGATAAGCAAACAGGGGTCCGCCTTAGGGCCCTTGGTGGGTTCCAGGGGGTAGAGCCCCCGGGAGCTCATAGAAAAATACTGCCATTTTAGCAATACTTGTAAATCACTGGTATCAAATTAAAAATAACCCATGTTTAAATTGTATTGGGGGGGTTACTGCCCCCCCCCCCATCAGTACGCCAGTGAAAGAGGCGGAGGTGACGAAAGGGACTACCCCCATAAAGCTGATGATAAGTCTTATATGTAAACCCCTCACAGGTATTTGAAGTTTTGTTGTGTTACAAAATTACATTCTTTAGCAAAACTACAGCATAAAAACAAGCAATATACTTTTTTTACGCTTCACTTTTACTTTGCCGATATCTAGTGTGCAGTCCGAAGGGTTGTAAATATTTACTAGGTACATTTTAGTAAGTACTGAGCAGGAAGGGACTT